GGGAAGTTTTTTTTTAAGCACCTCTATTGAGGGATAATTTATTTGCAATAAATGGCACACATAGGATGGGGCAAAAGTAGGTTTACAATTCTGAGTACGTGGAACACAGAGCTTATTCTTGTATTAGTATTTATTAATGATTGTATTATTTCCATACAAACAACTGTAAACTTACTTTTGACCCACTCTGTATTTAAAGTTTCTAATTTGATGTTTTGACATGAGTGTATATGTCCCATGAAACCTTTACCACAAACAAGATAGTGAATCTTTCCGTGCCCCTCAAAAGCTTTTCCTCTGTGCTCCTTTGAGGCTCTTCCTTTTACAAGCGACCATGATCTGCTTTCTGTCAAACTCTTTAGATTGCAAGAAAACTTTTAACTACAAATTCAGTATTTTTAATAGCTTACAGAGCTATATATTTAATCTGTTTCTTGAGTGAGTTTTGGAAGATCCTTTTTTGGGGGGAATTTGCCTATTACATCTAAGATTGAATGTAATGCCATAAAGTTGTTTATAACACTATTTTTTAAATATCTGTAGAATCTAATGATTTCACTTCTCTTATTCATGATATTAGCAATTTGTGTCTTTTCTCTCTCTCTTGTTTTTCCCTGAATAATCTGGTTAGTTTCCCATGGCTGCTGTAAGAAATTACCACACACTTGGTAGCCTAAAATAAGAGAAATGTATTCTCATAGTCTGGTGGCCACAAGTTCAAAATTATTTCACCTGGTTGAAATCAAGATGTCAGCAAGGCCATGCTCCCTCCAGTGGCTCTAGGGACAATCTATTCGTTGCTTTTTCCAGCTTCTAGTGGTAGCCAGCAGTCAGTCCAGTCTCTGCATTCATGGTCACATCGCTTTCTCCTATTCTGTCCTGAATTTCCCTCCCATCCTATAGATACCCCCTTATACATATGATCCTATTTAGGACCAATTGGAGTAATACAGGATAATCATAATCCTTAATCACATCTGCAGAGTCCTTTTTGCTATCTAAGGTAACATTAATAAGTTCCAGGGTTTACGATATATATTTTTTTTTGAGTGGCTCAAAGTTTATCATTTTTATTCATGTTTTCAAAGAACCAGCTTTTGTGTCATTGTTATTTTCTCAGCTCTCTTCTTACCGATTTCAATGATTTTCATTCTGATCTCTATTATACTGTTTTTTGATTTTATATGTCCCTCTTTTTCCGATTTTGTAAGGTGGAAGCCAAGGTCATTGGGTCATTGCTATTACAGTAACTTTCATCTGTTCTACTTTAGCTTCATTCCACAAATTTTCACATGCTGCATTTTCACGTTCTTTCAGTTCAAGATACTTTCTGATTTCCCGTTATTTTATTGATCCATGGAAAAGTATTATTTATTTTCCAATTTGGGGAGAATTTTTCAGTTGTCTTTCATTAATTGATTCCTGTGTTAATTTTATTATGGTCAGAGAACATTCCTTTGTATAACTTGAATCCTTTTAAATTAATTGGGACTGATTTTAGACCTCAAAATATAATCTGTCTTGGCAAATGTGGCAGGACATTTACCATGCATTTCCTCTTGAAAAGAATGTGTATTCTTCTCTTCTGCAGTGGAGTATTGTTTAAATATCAGTTAGGTCAAGTTTATTGATAGTGTTGTTGAGGTCTTCTGTACCTTTGCTGATTGTCAGCCTACTTTCTCTATCAGTTATCAAGAAAGGGATGATAAAATACCTGAGTATAATTGTGAGTTTTTGTTATTTCCCTTCACAGTTGTGTCAGTTTTTGTTTCAGACATTTTGAATCTCTGATTAGGTGCATAGACATTTAGGGTTGTCTTATCCTCTTGACAAATTAATCACCTTATTGTTACAGTTTGTACTTTCTTGTCGTTTTGCATGCCTGGTAATTTTTTTTTTTTTTGGATGCAGAGATTATAACTTTTACTGTTCAAATTTGTTCTGAGATGCTACTTAGTCACTTGGAAGCAGTTGGGTTTTGCTTTTAAAGCTATTTTAGGTGGTGCCCACACAGTGTTTAAGCTAAGACTAAATTTATAGCATTACTGAGGTGAACTCCCCTGAATACTCTTCCTTATGGCCCAGGTTTTTCAGTGTTCTCTCCTATGGACCTCTCTTTGGCACTCTGCCTTGTGAACTCGAGCCACCTTGGCATCCCTGGATTCTGAGCTTCATCTTTTTAACTCAAGGAGACCAACAAGGTCTATCTGATTTCCCCTCCCTCTGTTGCAGCCTGGACATTTTTTCAAGACTGTTAGCTGGGACAGTCGTGGGTTTCATCTCATTTGTTTCCTGAATCTGAGGAGTCACTGTCCTTTGTCTTAAGAACAATTGTTTCATTCATTCTTCCATGGTGACTGTTATTCCATCTTAGCTGGAAGTGAAAATCAAAAGCTAGGATCTTATACCAAGTATGTTCTGGTCATTTTCATCATACCTGGAGAAGCTTCTGGAGGCTCAACTCCCTTTCAAACAGGCATGGCTGCACTTTGGGGATTGTCCTTGTCATCTGTGCCCCCAGAGTCCCTGTCACACCTTGATAACTGTTGTGAAAGTTACTTAGAAAGAGGTGTTCAGAATGAAGGAAAAGATGAACTCACCTTGGGTTCTTGGACCTGTTTTATGTTATAGTTTGAGTCTTGCACTTCCAATCTACTTTAGTTATTTAGAGGTTTTAGTTTTTATTGTGTGGGAATTTCTGTGTTTCAAAGACACAGATTCTTTTTAATTAAGTATGAAATATTGTGTACACAAAAATGTTTTTAATTACAAAAATCAAAATAAATGTAATAAGTAGAGCATGGCATTTTAAATTTTTATTTATGAACATTTAACCAATTAGGATATTTGATTCTTTTCTTCTGCCTCATAGCTTCTGTGATATAAAGGCTGTTGATAGTTTGCATTTGTTCAGTTTTACTGCCCAATAAAGCTAGGTTTATGATTTTAATGAGAGGAAAATCTTTAATTTTATTTATGCATAATCAGATGTGAAGCTACTGTGACTAAATTTATCTATTTTTTTAAAAAAACACAGTCTAATAAAGAACTGTTGTTTATTTCAACAGGAAATTCAGAGCGAGAGAAAGTCCAAAGCCACATTATCAAAAACTGGAAAATAAATTTGATGCTTATGCAACAGTTTCTGTCTTAATATTTTGGCAAGTCAAACTTTAAGCCTAATTGGTCATAATTTTCTCTTTAATTTTTTTGCCCTCCAAAACCATTATTACCTAGTCTGCCCATCAAATCATGGAACAGTTTAACAGTAAAAGTAAATGAAGCTTTTCAAATATTATAAATGATTTCTTGCAGAAGGCCAGCTTCTCTAAAAGCAGAGAAGGGGTTTTGCCTTCTTTTGTTTTGTTGTCATTTGTTGTTTTATAAGTTTTCCATGGTACACAAGGTGAATGATAATCTTCTATTTGAATTTTTGGTGTATGGAAATAGGTAGATGTCTATAGGACACCATGTTTTTTGTGCGCGGCTCCTTTAATAGGTATCTACATTTGTAGATGAGCCTGCTCATCTGTCAGGTAACTGATCCAGATAATATTTAGTACCATCACAGTAAAGCTCTCAAAGTCTGCCTATTTCATACAACCTTTCTGATACAGTAGATACTAGGTTTTAATACTGCTTGAGTCTAAAGCAATTTGACATTTATAAGACTTTCAGCCCACTTTCTAAATGGGTTGTCACTGCATTGAGCTTTGAACGATTATCACTGCTTCTCTCTCTGGGTCCCGTCTTACCATTTAGAGACAAAATTATTGGCAGTAAATCAAGTCTTTATGTGATTATAATCATACCTATGTAAAGATGAATATTCTCACTCCTGTAATGCTCAGTTCTAATTAATGTGGGCTTGACATCCCACATTAACTTTTACTGCTGAGAAAACAGCATATTCTATTCCATTTCTGTGAACTGGAATATTAGATTTCCAAAAGATTCCTGAAATGGTAAAACTTCCTTGGATTTTAATTTACTTGTATTGGTTTAGAGTTCAGTAATGAGAATTGGCCTCCAGGAAAAATGCCTCTAATTGAGCAATTAACATCCCAGTGATTTCAGGCTGTATCTTCTAACAGCAGGAATATCGTAGTTCCTTGGGGTCAACTCTGGCCTTGTAAGGACACTTAAGGCTAAGGTGAAGAAGGTGTAATTGAAGCACTTAGGGGAATAGGAGGGGAACTTTTAGTAATTATGCCCAGACAACAGCCATCAATAGGGTTAGTCACCTTATTAAAGCCTCAGTGGTTCATACCTACAGCCTTCCAGAATTGATCTAGAGTTCTGAGGTAGACGAAGACACCTGCCCCATTTTGAAAGCCTGTTTATATTTTGAAATGAACACTTGGGGAACTATTCAACATCTAGAAATAATACACACACACACACACACACACATATACTTATGTATATATATCATTAATTTTTTTCTATTATTTTTGGTAACTTTTATTAATAATATCCATTGTTGCCATTACAAAGTTTGACATCATACCCAAATTTCATAACTTTAGTTGAGTAGATTAGAATGAATTTTGTTACTTTAGTGGAATGAATTCTGTTCCTTGTTTAACTGTTTCTACTGAATGCCATTTTCAGGGAATGATTAAAGCAATTTGTCAGTGATTTTGTAAGTAGTCCCACATTTTAAGTAGTAATTAATTGCCAAGGAAGTAGAAGAACAAAGAGTGGTTAATACAGCTTATAGGGATTTAAGGAAGAATAATTTCTGACTCTTATGTAGGTTTTCCTAATGTTCATAAATTGCTTTAACTTGAATTCTCTCTTGTTGCTTTTACAGTTTAAACTCAAATATATACACTAAGTCAGTTTTTAAAAATACATTGGACCCAGATTTCTGTAAAAGTATATATGTCCTGTTTTGATTTCACAGAAATTTGGGGGAATTTATCCTAATGGAATGAATTACTTTGGGAACTTAAAATAATAGATGTGTCCTTCTTTTTCTTTCTTTTTTAAAAAAGCTGGACCTGTGATCTGCAGAATGCTGAGTTACCCCCCCACTCGCCGAGCTTTAATTGTGGGTTGTGGTCTACAAATGTTCCAACAGCTCTCAGGCATTAACACCGTCATGTATGTATTTCTTTCTGGCTTTTTACTGAAAAGATTGTGAAGGTATTATTTTTACCTGGAAAAAAGAATAGGACTCATGGTGATTTGTTGTTATTAAATGTGTAGGACTTTCCTTTTGGAAGATCCCCAACTTCACAATTATTTTAATCCTATTAATTTATAAGTAGAAGGAGGTGATCTATTTTGTTTGTTGTAATTATTGGCTTTAGTTGATTTCCTACAGTTTTTCTTTTATGCCACCCAGTACTTATATTCTGAACTAATGAATATGTCATTTTTATAAGCCATTTCTTGATGCTGGTTAGAAGTAAAGAGAAGGTAATCACCTAGCACTGTCAGACTACTAACGGGGACACAAATAACTAATTTATATCCTTTTGAGGCAGTCACTTACAATGCAATGTGATAAGAACATTAATAGAAGTATGTTTGTTATAACTAGAATGCAGTGGACTGGTGATGGAGTGGGAGCAGAGAGGCGGAGCAGATGCAGAAATTCCTTGTTTTCTGGTTTTCAGAGTAACCCCCAAAATTATATGTGTTGGGATGAAGTGAGGTGAATAGTAGGAGGTTCTATGATATTTCAGTTATTTAATTTAATTTTTTAAAAGGTTTTATTTCAATTTATTTTTAGGCAGGGGAAGGGAAGGAAGGAGAGAGGGAGAGAAACATCAATGTGCTGTTGCCTCTCAAGCACCCCCTCGTGGGGACCTGGTCCACAACCCAGGCATGTGCCCTGACTGGGAACTGAACCGTTGACCCTTTGATTGGCAGGCTGGTGCTCAATCCCCTGAGCTACACCAGACAGGGCTCAGTTATTTAATTTGAAACCCATTTTTGATAGCCTACTGTGTACTACATACGTAACAGTGAATAAAGTAGACATGGCGTTGGCCTCACAGAGTATACAGGCTGGTGGAGAAAACATATATTAAATAAACTCACATGTAATTCATACTTTCACACTGTGACCAGGGCCATGTGGGACTATTCCAGTTCTCCACAGAGCAGACCTTTCAGGTCCTAGGTAATGAAATTTGGGTTAGAGAAAAGTCATGGGTTTTGCTGAGAAACTGGTCATAGGGCAAAAAACTGCTAAGTCTTAGAGGCTTTTTTCCCTACCTGTTATTCAAAATTATTTCTTAGAAAATTACAGATTTTGTAAAATCAAAATTTACCTGGTAACCCATTTGTATTTGGGACTCTTGATATTTTCCTTTTAATATTACTTGGGATAGAATGAATTATTTTTTGATAGTTTGAGAAGAGTGAAACTGTTTAAAATTATTATTAAAAATAATGATTAGGTCCCGGTGACTCATTAGATTAAATCAGGATTTGTTAAGGAACTGTATTTTAAATACATCCACACTCTTGGTGAAGTTGACATTAATCATGATCCTTTTTAGACTACAACTTTGTGGACTACATCTTCAATATTTGGTCTTCCCCTTCTTCTCTCTGGCATCTCCCTTCATTTTTCCTCACCTTTATGAGCTCTGTTAAAGCCCATCTCTTGGTATGTGTACAGCATGTTTGTCTTCTGGACATGGCACACCAAGGCTGTTCTGAGCTGTGCGCGCCATCCTCAGGGCTGATGGTGCAGAATCGCAGCAAGGCCCACACAGCGCTTTCACATAATGCAGTGCAGTCATAACTATGTAAACACCTAGATTATCAACCTAACTTAAATTATGTCCTGTTTCTGAAAACCTTTTTCATTTGTTTCACTCTTTCCCAGGGGTTTAAACTTAACAAGTTTAAAAGCATAGAAAATAAATTTTTGTTGTATTTTTTGTGTGTCCCTGTAAAACAGGGGTTGCATTAGGTAACTCATTGATGGATGGTGGCTGAGGCCAGTGAAATGACTGTCATAGTCCATTTGTAATACCTAGTATAAAATGTGTTGATTAAGGTTTTTAAATTTTAATAGAGCATTCATTTCTCCAAACTCTCAGCCTTTTCACAGTGAGATCAAGTGATGTGAGTATAAGGATCCTCATATTCCTTAAGATTTATGATACTCATTAATGTACTTTTATCACTAACTATACATGATGCAGGTACTATCATACAGCTCTTGATTGCAGTTGTATATTTATCCCAGGATGTAGAAAGAATAAAATAAGGTAAATGATGGCTAAGTTTAGATTGTTTCTACATGATGCAAAACTGCTAGTCACTTAAATGATATGATACCTATGGTAAATATCTGTGGTTATTCATAGTGCGCAATTTTAGAATTTATATTTTAAACCCATCATACTTAGTATAATTAATTTCATTATAACAGACTGCACTGATGTCATTATTTGGTTGGAAAATAATTGATCTAGGGCTTTCAGATAATATGTTGTCTTCTACTTTATCTAGTCTATATTCTTGTGTGTACTTGTGTATGTGCATGTATCTTTTCCCATTCTTAAGAGGCAGTAAATACTATCAGAAATTTTGTTTCTTTTAATTTAGAATAATCTCTTAATTGGAGCCTAATAGGTTAATTTTTGTTGTTTTTAGCAGAAAATATTAACTATATTATTTTTTAAAAATGTTTTCTAATTCAGAGTTTTGTTTTTTATTGCTATTTCATAATGTATATTTCATTACTTTTACTCTTTCCAGCTTCTTCCCTCAATTTTAAGTGGAAAATAAAGTAGGCAGTGCTCTTCTATATTCACAGCCCAAATCTAATCATCTGTAAAGGTTGAAATGTTTTTATAAAATTCATCTTTCACCCCAGACTTTGTGTGAATCTGAAATATGAGGAATTTTGAATTCTACTTCTCACTAAGAAAAGTTCATAAAAAGATCATCTAGAAAAATATTGAAAGATAAATCATCTTTACAGTTCTGTTATGTAATCGCATGTTTAATTTCTCTCTTCCCCCTCATAGGATGTATATTTCTTTCTTCATGACCTATTTAATGTCCTATCTCAGTCAAGTAAATAGATTTCCTTCTTGGAATATTTACTTTTCTCATGTGGTACCATGAAAAAAATATATATTGTATGTATGTTTATGTCTGTATGTTTTATTTGTATGATAACTCATATTTATATCCTAACCTATGTCTTATCATCCTTCCTTTATCCTATTGAACAGAGGACTTGTAAGTTCTTAAAACCATTACATACTTCAGACAACTACATTTAACTTTAAGATGAGGCAATTTCCTAATATGACTCTAATCACTATTTCAAACATGCAATGGATAAATTATTCCCACTTCACAGGAGAGAAAGAACAAAGCAGTGGAGTACTAGCTTCCCTGATATAAAAGTGTTGATATTATATATCACAGACCAATAAAATATTTTCATATGAAATGAGAGAGGAACATTGATTATCGTTAATATGAAGAAAATTCCCTTAAGAAATTCTTTTTTCGTGCCCTGGCTGGTGTGGCTCAGTGGGTTGAGTGCTGACCTGTGAACCAAAGGGTCACCGGTACCATTCTCAGTCAGGGCACATGCCTGGGTTGTGGTCCAGGTCCCTAGGAGGGGGTGCATAAGAGGCAACCATGCATTGATGTTTCTCTCCCTCTCTCTCTCCCTTCTCCTCTCTCTAAACATAAATAAAATCTTTAAAAAGAAAAAGAAACTTCCTTTTTGTGATCTATTATGAACCCTAGTTATGTTAATAGTTTTCTATTTCATGTCTAAAAATTTTTATTTAATAACTACTGATAAATGGACCCTTCCTACAATATTACCACAATAAAAATGTGTGTGTGTGTGTGTGTGTGTGTGTGTGAGAGAGAGAGAGAGAGAGAGAGAGAGAGAGAGAAGGGAAAAACATCTGGTTCTATCTGGGTTCTATTGTTAGCATTTTGCTTCTTTTGAAGAACCTTGTAATGAGTTATATTTTGTTATATTTTACTAAACATATAATCAGTCCATCTTGGACAGGTGGAAGGTATCAGAATTTTACCTGGGAAGACCCAGGTAAAAAGTGCTTAAATCCCTCATTTTAAGGTGACACAGAAACCAGCAGTGAACAGGAGAAGGAATAAAAAAGACTGGGAAAATAAACTGCTTTTGGGTACTTCATACAAGTCCTTTACTTTTAATCTTCTCTTTGAGATTAATGCTTCCAGATTCTTCTCTGCTTACTCTTTCTTTCTAACTAACTTTAAGTAGGGTGAGAAATAGACAATTATATCGACTGGGCAGATCTTTCTTCTATAACTGCTTTACCTTAATTCTCCGGAGATCACTCCTTTTATCATATTTACAAAAGATAATAAAGACCTATGAATAACATGCCCTTGTAATAATAATGTTAATAGTTATAATTTATTGGTCATTCAATACCAGATACTACTTTAGCATATATTCACTCAATAAATATTAACAAAAGAGAGGGAAAATGATAAATTTACATACATAACACCATAAAATAATTTCAGTGACATGATTTCTTTTGATCTTCATAACTATCCTGTCAAGTAGGCAGAGCAGTTCTGTTTATTCCCTAGGTCAGTGGTCCCCAACCTCTTTAGTACCAGGGACAAGCTTTGTGGGTAGCAAATTTTTTGCATGGACCAGGGTCGGGGGGACAAGGCTGGGGGTGGGTGAGAGATGGTTTCAGGAGGATTCAATTCAAGTGCATTACATTCAGGCTCACCTCCTGCTGTGTGGTCTGGTACTGTCTGTGGCCCCGGGCTTGGGGACCCCTGCTTAGGTGAGGAAGCTGAGGCTTAAAGAGTAAAGTAACTTGTTCACTGTTGTGCAATTAAGGTTTGGAGCGGAGAATGGAGCCCTGATTTTCCTACTCCAGATCACATGGGCTGGCTACCCTTTAGTTGCAGAACGCTTGAAATGCCCAGAGCTGGCTGTTTAAAGTTTGTTTGGGGTGATATAAGGAAAGAAATAAAAGTTAGTGGAATTTAATACTGTCTACGGATAAAAATGTAAAATGACTGTGTGCTAATAAAATTGCATCCATCTCAAGATTCAAGTTGTTTAATCTCCTGGCACCCAGTTAGGGCCTTGGCCT